ATTGAAGATAAAGAATGTTAAATGGCGATAAAGACGACAAAATATTTTAAAAGCATTTTTATCCTTTTTTTAATACCATATTAATTAATGATTATTTTTACATTTATAATATTTGTACATAATTTTAAACAGAATTTTAAATGAATATTTAAGTACATATTTAAAAATAAATTCATATTTTATAGCATATTACAGCATTTTTAGAAGCATATTTTGAGGATTTTTTGTGCATATAAATCCGGTCCCTAGTTATCACTTATGACTCACAATAAACATTCACTGTACGGCCTATGTATATATAATACGGGTACTGTTTACGGGTACTGTAATATGTATTATTATTTAATTCTTCGAGTCTCAGGTTTCTAATTTTCTTAAAAAAAAATTATATTTTTATTTTTTATTGCTTTTTCTCATTTTTTGTTGTATGATATCTGTGAATAATAATAATACATGCATTACAAAATATTCTGTTATTTCATTGGTAAATCCGGTGTCCTTTATTTTTTTTATTATTTATTTTGTTAAGTTGGTAACTCAACTATACGATTAAAAATTTTTGTTGCATAATTTTGCATATTTTGTTATTTTTTGTACCAATTCACATACTTTGAGTTTAAGAACATTTATATGCATATTTTATGGACTTAACAATTTTTTTTTAAAACAATGTATAGTTTAATAATAAAATATTAGATTTATGACAACCAAAATTCTAAGTTTTTGTCGTTTGTCAAAATAAATTAATTCATCAACGGCTATTATTCATATTGCTCTGGCTCCTTCTGCACTTAATAATAATAATATAATCTGTATAGTACCGAGAACTTGTAATAGTGACCACCGCTGGCCTATATTTATTTTTATATAAATTTACCACTGTATTAATATTTTGTAACATGACATAAACAAATTGCATAACCATAGGTAATTCGTATACAAGTATGTTTAACCATAAGGTTATCAGCTTATACACAATATTATTTCTGTTCGTTATAATACTACACACATCTGCATAAAAGCGACTTCATTGTACAATGTTCACTAGTTAGTAGTCAGTTAATTATTTTTTATGCAATTATTTTCCAATTTTTTACTGCATATATACCGCATATTTTGATGTTTTTTAACGCATATTTATGCGTATATTTTAGTATTTTTTAGCACATAAAGTTTCGAGCCTTGCTTATAAGTTACTTGGAGAAAAAAAAAATTTTCAAATCTGTTGAATTTTGAATGAATGAGAGCTCAAAAATAATCAGCAAAAAACAAAAATATTACAAAAAATATTAATGAGCTGTGTGTACTTCATTACCTAATATCATATTATTAGTTATCTATTTAAAAGTTTAAAAATCATACAATTTTACAATTGTCTATGTTTTTTGAAAATATAAAATGCTCTTATTTATTCAAATTCAACCGATTTCAATTTTTTTTTCTCTGAGTACCTTATAAGTAATTTTACAAAGTGACTATTTTCGAAATTTTTGGTGGTTTTGAATTTCGGATTTTTTTTTTTAACAGTGGTAAAAAATACGTAACTTCAATATCTGCATTATATTAGGATTAATAACACCCAACTTTCCAATTAATTTACATACTGTATATCTATGGTTACATGATTCCCTTGTTAACATCATTCATGTCTTAATTCAGTTTTATCTGAATACTTGTAGTGGAATAATTCATTGAATTGAGATAAATCACTGAATCGATTCATTTCAGTAAATTTAATCAAGAGAATCAATTCATTCAACTGGTTCATATTTCCCATCCTTAATAGATTAAATAATTAATTCTGATTTGGTTAAAATATAAACATTTCTTTTCCTTTTCCTTTTCCTTTTCTATTTTTTTAATTTCTTATCATAATTAGTCAATATTTTTTAATAATAACATAGATTTAATTTTAAAACAATTGCGAGACAGAAAAAAATATGTCTAAATACATACAAATTTTATTAGCTAAAATTAAAGCTCTATGTAGAAAATAATTGGTACCAATATTCGTTTTAAAATGAGGAACAAAAAATAAATCTGAATTACATATAATCAAATATGATTAATATTCATCTGAAATATACATACCATGAATCGAATTTGTATCGAATCAGAATTTCAATATGCACTTTTTAGACAAATATGCAAATGCCTTAAGTTCCGAGCCTTGCTTATAAGTAATTATAAAAAGTGGGTATTTTCGAAATTTTTCAAAAAAATTTTGGTGGTTTTGAATTTTGGATTTTTTTTAATCATGGTAAAAGATGGGCTATAAGTTACATATTATATTTAAAAAAAAGGAACTTCAATATCTGCATTATATTAGGAGTAATAAATACTGACTTTCCAATTAATTTACATACTGTATAACCTGGTTACTGATCCCATTTATTTGATAACCCACACATCCGACATTATCGTTACAAGTCTATTACATTTAGTGAATCGTGATATTACCACAGAACAATGATATTACCTAATTCAATTTTGTAATTAACAATGTTACCGATGAATCGATATATTTTATAACACTGAATCGATTCAATCAATCATCTAGCTGAATTGATTCATTCATGAATTACCCATCCCTTTTTATCGCAGAACAATAATATTACCTAATTCAATTTTGAAAATAATAGTGTTACCGATGAATCGATATATTTTACAACACTAAATCGATTCAATCAGTCATCTAGCTGAATCGATTCATTCATGAATTACCCATCCCTAACATCTATGTAAGATAACTGAATGTCTTAGTGTACTTATGTATCTTAGTTTAGAGCTATCAAGTCTAATATTAAAAGTTAAATTTAATATGAAATTTTGGTAAGTTTATATAGACTAACATACACGTTACTAACATAAAAAAAGATATACTTTGTTCAAAAAAAAAAAAAATATAATAGTTTTCTTTAATTTACAGTTGAATTTTCGTTTTTGAAAATGCCAGCAATTAGACGTAATTAATTAATATTAGTCGTAACGCCAAACACGACATTGAACATTTCCTTTGAAATTTGCAAGAATGATGACTTTGCTAGGCCACTGCTTTCTTCCAAAATGCCACAATATTATACCTTGAATCAATTGTTAAAGAAATTTCAAGAACCAGTTACAAATTACCTACTAGTATTTTCTACTGATACACTAGGACGTATTTAAACAGTCCATCCCAGCTAAGATAAGTATTTTTATTAACGTTTACAGTTAGTCAATATTTGTGGCCTAACATCATTCCAACATCTACGAACTGTTGATGGTGTATTGTGCGGCACATACAGAGAAGCCTGTTAATGTCTGGGTTGCTAGAGAATGATACTTATTGGTACCACACTCTCGAAGATGCTGTGATTATGTCAAATGCTAATCAAATACGAACATTGTTTTCTATAATTTTGTCTACATGCTTCCCATCAACAATAACTGATTTATGGAAAAAATATAAAGATTACATAACTGAAGATCTATTACATCAGAAGCGTCTAAGAACATCAAATGCAAATTTGCAAATTAACGATGAAATGTACAATGAAGCATTAATTTTAATTAAAGACATGCTATTATTGCTTTTAATACTCAAAATGTGAGACTATATAATAAAATAAAATTCTTGTGTGAATTTAAATTAATTATATTCAAATGGATATTGATAAGGTTTGAATATGTAAACCAAAACAACAAGTCAGAGTAACATTTTAAATGGCTATATAAATAATTTGTCTAAAGTACAGTTAAAGTATAATATTAATTAGCAATAACATAAAAATGTTTTATTATTTGTCTATCATGTATCATTATTCATTATTCATATAAAAATTGTTTTGACTGACAAAATTTTATGTTTTCTTCGTTTTATATTTTTTTAATAATATAAATTTCCAAATGAAAAGTATATTCAGTGTCTTGTACGTCATTATATTCTCAAAAGAAACTGCGTCTAGTCATTTATTTGCATAAAAAAAAAAATCAGTTTTTGAATGAGAACCAAAAAGTCATAAATAGCCATTGATGTTATAAAAATTACAGATGGGACTTAAACAATTTAATAAGAAATCTTTTAGGTTTTTTGTTTTTGTTTTTATGTGTTCACAACAATACAGACACAATCCTACAGACACAATATTATCCACTTGAAAATGCTATGTGAATGTTAATAGTAATTTGGCGTGTATAAAAAAATGTGGTCATGAAGTTTGTTTAGCATGTTGTCAGAAAAAAAAATGAATTTTTCAAAATGAAACTATAGTACAATAATAAGCGAATATTACTTAATGTCCACCCACAGTGTTATCAAAATACAATTCTATATTATGATACTATGTAAAGTGATATTTTGGACCTTTTTAAATTAATAATTATTTTACATATCTAGTATTCTATTATATACATATAAATCATACATACATACACACAAACATCTATGTATATATCAGTATATTTATTTGTGTAATTGATGTATTTTCTTTAAAAATAATTTAAGATCGGTAAGATAATTTAAGAACTTAAAAATTAAGTTCTTCGTATGCCTCTTTTCCAGCTGTAAATATTCATAGAGATAGGTACATAAAATAAAAAATTATATTTTGTGTAGTCATTAGTACAAAATAATGTTTACAAAACAAATACTCTAAAAATACTTTAAAATACAGTTGATATTATTTTTCTGTTTGAGTTTCATACTCGTATAATATACTCGGAAAATATATTTTAATTGCTTTTATTATTGACAAAGGATTCTATTTTTAATTATAATTGTTTAAGTAAAGTTATTGTTTTCTTACAAATAATATAAATAGCAAGTACATTTGATAACTTTTGATATCTTATTAGACTAATTAAGAGTTACAAGATTTTCAATATTTTTTAGTATCCGAATATCCATACCCTTTTAATAAATATGTATAATTTTATGTTACTTGAGTCAAAATTTTTAGGAATATAGGAAAAATGTCATGTAGTCAAATCTTATACAAAAATTATAAATTTTTTTTTAGATCCGAGAATGAAGAAAAACACATTGGCCGCTATAGTTACGGTCATCGTAATTCTAACCAACTATTTATGTAGTCCAGCCGAAAGCATCGAAAATGTTATTGACCACAAATATTGTCATTGTTTAAATGTGACAACAGAGGGTAGACTAATTAAATGTAAATGTGTTGACAGTAAACTTGAAGAAATACCAAATGATTTACCTACTCCTTTACATGAGCTGTAAGTCAAAATATTTTTTTGTTTATTACATTTTTGTAATTTTTATTATTATTTCAAGGATAATTGGCGAGTCTTCAATTGAAAATTTAAAAAATGATTCATTCGTAAAGTATAAAGAAAGTCTAAGAGAATTGTAAGTATTATAAATAATATATTATCTATTTTATGAGCTCTATAGAGATAGTATTATATCACGTGAATTCTTGGCGAAGAAATAATAATAAAATTATAAATAATTATTTCTTTTAATTTAACAAAGGAAATTTACAATCAGATATTTTAAATTTTTTTTTTTTTTGAGATTGAAAGATAAAAAAGTATATATAATGTCGAAAGATAACTATTTTTGTTTGGTGTACTAAATTAGTATCATAATATATTTTTCCTTTTAATTTGCAAAAGAACATAAGATGCTTTGATGCATTTGTTCTTATCAACATTTGTTAATATCAATGTACTTTAAGTTTGATTTTTTTATATGGATATGGTCTTGATCTTAACTGTAAAATATCTGTTTAAGATTTTTCAATACAAATACAATCTTATGTGATTCATAACATTAATACAATATAACTCACTGAAATTATTAAACTAAAGTCCATTAAAAAGCTTTGATTTGAGAAATATTATAATAATTTTACTATGAATTTTCGCCTATCACTATTTTTTCAATCCTTACATATTTTATGGCATATTTAAGTGTAATAGTTATGTTTATATAGAACAATAAAATATAAAATTAAATTAACAGAGTAAAAAGCATGAAAAATTCAAATATGAAAGTATTTTAAATGTATGTTTTTATCGAATATCTTAAATATTAGTAATAGTCTAGTCGATTAGATATTTATAAAAGTAATCGTACATATACTGCAGTTTTAATGTAATTAAAAATAAAAAAAATAAGATCAGTGCACCTATATTATTAAATTTAAATTAGCAAATACACATCATATTTTATAAATATGAAAAATATATGTTAAATTAAAAGTAAATAAATGTACAACACTGACTTAAATTTATTTGTGAAAACTAATCTACATACTTACCATTCATTTTTATAGTATTAATATACTTCATAATATTAAAATATTTATTAAAATTCGCATTTACTTTCAGAATAATAAGAGATCTAAAAAATCTAGTAAGCATAGAAAATGGAATTTTTGATGGAATGGATCATTTACAAACTATGTAAGTATTTATTGGTTGTCATATTACAATTATTAGTTTGAAAAAGGAGGGCTATATATATAATTATTTTATGCATCATAAATATGTTTTCATATTAATATATATTGACCTGCTGTTGTTAATAAATTTATATTACACTGCTTATCTTTAGACTAAATAAATAATTGTTTGTTAAAGGACCATGGTTAACTTTTAATTATTTGCATTATTCCTCCTTTCTTCTCATGATATAAATATAATTTGATCCTTAGTGAAATAATATGTTTAATTATCCTAGTTATTTTTACACAAAATTATCCATCGCATTGCATTTTTGTAGTTATTCTCACGGGATTATATTGAAAAGAAATTTTTGTGAGGTTTGTTGTTTACGTCTATTATACACGTATAAAGGTATAATACAAATATATGCAAAACTAAACTAGTAATAAATCATTGAGAAGTGACTCAACAGCTAAAATGTATAACATTTATGTATATTATAAAAATTGTAATAAAATACCGTTTTCTAGAGTATCCCTTTTATTTTTATAGCGTGATGTTTAAATTAATAAAAAAAATTCAATCAGTTTTATCCTGCGGAAGATATCACAGTGCATAGAATATGCTTTTACGGAGGCTTTCCGGTCAAAACGATAATTTAATAATAAAAAATATTTCGAATAATGTAGTATCATAACACGGTTGTTTTTATTCCACGCCATCAATTCTAACTTGAATTTTTATTGCTTTTGACTTTGGTAACAACGATATTCATTTAATACATCTACTAATACTTTCTTTCATCGATCATGATAATATGTAATAGTATATTGACTCATTTCGTCACCAAATTCGGATGTCAAATGATCTAAAATAACAATCTATTGAAGCATTAAATTTGCAGACATACAATACCCAAGATGTCTAAAGTTCATAAATCAATTTAGACAAGTTTAAAGTAATCAAACTTAATTTTCAGGAGGACAAAATATGTATCAGAAATGCATTTTATTTTTGTCTATAAACTTCAATCAGTAAGTTCCTGCAAAGAAATATTAAAATTATATGTAAAATAATTCTTAGTAGGTTTAAACAACGGACTGTAGTTACTTTTTTATAAATAAATAGATAGAAAAAAAAACTTTGAACGATATTTGCTACTATTATTTTGTTTCCCTCGAAAGAAGGTTTTGTAATTACGACACACTTAATAAGATTAAACATAATAATTTGAAAAAAAAATATGTCCATAAGTTTATCATTAAAATATTACTCCTAAATTATTGAAATTATTACGTTGTTTTGATTTCAAATAAATTACTTACTACGCTACTTAATTTTCAATATTTTTCAGAATTGATAAAAATATGTTTTAAAACTACAGAATGATTATTGTGAATTTATGCCGAATATGTTTTATAGATGTAGCTAATTTTTGGTTTTCATTTCAGTCGTTGTATTTTAAGTTTTCTGAGAATGGATTATTTTCAACTATTATTAAACAGTCAAGCATTAACTGGGGAGAAGAAAAAAATAATATTATCAATTTAAAATTTTATAATATTTCCCAATTATAAAACCATATTTTTACTAAACCGTCCGTGTTAGAAATAAGATAAATAATGAAGGTATAACAGTCGATTAAGTCGATTTGTGTTATTTCCAATTAAGTTTCGTTAGTTCAAAAATTACTTTTTTGCTATATTGATCTACATAACGAAATTATATCTCAGTAATACCTTTTTCATAAGTTCTGTAAAAAAAATAGTAGTTATGTTTATTGTGGGCAGAAAGTTATTTCAGCCACGGGTGAATTTCAGCATACCTACTTTTCGAGCTAATACACGTTGCAGTTGTATTAAATTAAATAAGATTAATGCTAACTCACGTTATAATATATATTTCCTCGGAGTATTTCAAGTTCAAAACTCTTTACGTTAAATTAAATTTATTTCATAAAGTTAATTTTTGTTTTCTTTAAAATTTGCTACACATTAGGTATTCTCGGTGGTTTATTCAGAACGTTTTTCACATCTCATTATAAAATAATCTTTAGCATTCAAAAGCGATTAAAAATTAAAACGGCAAAACGTTAAAAAATATATGTTATATAATGAGTTAACTTCTTTTGTGATTTTAAGTTTTCGAAAGGTTTATGTGTTAGTTTTATATATTTTTTTAATACTTTATTTAAGAGTAATAAAGTATATAATTTCAACACCATTGTTTAATAATTTTATTTAAATTGTATTGTACAAAGTTCAACATTCAAGTAATTAACTCAATAGTTATACTGTTTTTTATTTATCCAAGTATAACTTGTAATTATTGTTTTTTTTACATAAAAGTCGTTAATTATTGCCAATGATTAATTGACTTGTTATAAACATGCACACAGGGTGACTAATAAGTTAAATGTACTCATTCGTGTAATCTTGCATTAACCCTTTAACAATTTAAAAATATTTGTAATTTTATGAAACATCGTGTATATTGTGTTCATAACTACATCTAGTTACGGTTTTGATATTTATGCATTGGATTCAATGCAGAAGTATAATATTTAAGTAGCACATTATTTGATTTATGATATTTTAGGATTTAATGTTTAATATTAAATATTCGCATAAAAGTTATTAAAATATAAATATAATAACAAATATAATATACATAAAATGTTAAATTGTATCTTATGTGTTTCTATATTATATTCCATTCACTCGATGCGCATATATTCAGCACTTTATTTATTCTTATTACATTATTACAATTCAAGTTATTTCATTCTTTATGAAAAATCATTGAAATTTTATTACGAATTTAACATAAAATCTTAAATTTATTTCCATCTACGATAATTTGTCAATTAATAATAAAAAAAAAATAAAAATAAAAACGTTACAGTTAATATTTTTTATATACAGTGCGTTTCACTCAAATGGTAACATGAAATATTTCCAACAAGTGAATTTGGATTAAAATGAGAATTTTTGAGAAGCGGTGAAATACTAAAATACACATCTTATGATCATTTTCAAATTGATATTTTGCTATTAACTCAGGTTATCGACATCGCCATTGCGTTGTCATTTAAATGTCTGACTCGATATCGTACTATTCTATTATTTATTTATTTATAGTAATCATCTAAACATTAACATTTATAAAATTATTGTTGTTATTTATTTTTAAAAACTATTTTGTGACACGCCACATGTAATTGCAGCTTGCATTTGCAGTTATAGTATACTACACTTTATTTTATTTCTTTCAATTTTTTTTTTTTGTATAATACAATATTATACAGATACGATTAAATTAGGAGAGAGTCCGATGGAGCCATTTTTTAAATATTTACTCGACCTAAACACTCACACTTCATCGCTGTAATAAATCATCACATTTCATCCAACAAAATAATATACAAAGTCAGTTATAAAGATGTACCATATCGTAAAATTTCAAATACAAAATAGTTTAAAATTATATCCATTGGCATGACTGTGTTTTAACGGCTGATTTTTTACGCATTTAAAGTCAGTCCAATATGCATTTAAATATGTAGATTATTAAAAAATCAGTACAATTTAGATGGAAAAAAAGCTTGTATAATTATATGAATGTAAATTATAAGTAAGAAACGAGTCTATCAATCAGTATATTAATAAAAGTGATAAATGAACATGATCTTTGAAGGTAGGAACTGCAATGGATTGGAAATATTAACATTCAACTGAGTACGTGGGTAAATCCGGAATTTTTTTTTCTTTTAACAAAATGTTTATTTGACTTTGGTAAGTTTTGAGTGTTATTTTAAAAACATTAATACAGATTATGATCGAAAATATTGAACTTAGGAACACTTGCAATTAGGCTTTGATGATTTTTAATAATCACTTAACTCTTATGAGAATTACATTTTACAATTCGCATACAATTATCATAGTTTAAGTTGTACATTTTTTTTTTTTTTAGAAAAAAATAATTAATAAAAAAATACATAAAAACAATATTTTAGTATAAAAATATCTAAAATACAAGACCCTGAAGTATGTATTTACTTTTTAAATATATGATTAATACATAGAAATGATTTTTATACAGAAAAGGAGTGAATGTTGTATTTTTAATTCGTCGTAAATGCCAAGTTATAAGTGCTTGTGTTTAGTTTTATGAGCTTTTGTTTTAACAAAATCTTGACATTTTAAGTTTAATGATAAAACACTCATTTAAAATTACAAAAAAAAAAAAATCGCTTAAGTTATAATGAAATAAATGTACCAGTACAAAAATATTTTTTGAATGCTCAACTTATTGGTTAATCGTTTAATAAAAATTGCAGAAAAAAAAAAATAATAATAATAACAATTGAATTTACATATGACAATTATGTTTATAGTTAATTAACGTAAATATTCTGTAAATTTCAGAATCGTCAGTACAACTCATGTTGTATTGATACGTCAACTATTCACGTACTTACAAACTAACATCCTATTGTTATTAAAACGTAATAAATACCACAAGAGCGACCGTGACACATATTGGGATCATAATAATACACGATGAAAACCTAAATTTATAATTGACGTGCCCAGTGACGATTTGTGTTTTCCTTCTGTTTTAGTTACATCCACGATGCTCCGAAGTTAAGGGTGATCTCGCCGATGTTGTTTCACGTCCGCCTACCGAACTTGAAAATCTTGTAAGTACACGCACTTGAACGTACAGTGGGAGAATAAACATCATAATACACAGTGCGTTTTGCACCGAGTGTGCACGTGTGACGGGCGAAAATGAAATTGCGCGTTAAACAATTGTGCTTACTATTTACGTTATTGCTATACATTACTGCTGGTACACATTGCGTCGGCTACTCGCAAGTATCGTAAATGGATGTGTTGGTCCCGTTTGCCAGTGGTGTTTATTAAAAATTAACAAACAGACCATTGTTGGGATAATAAATAACATGTTAACGTTTTTAATGTCGTATACATCCCATAAGGAGTAGCGACGTTTCGGGGAGGGTAGATGGTGATAGTTTTCTTCCTCCGAACTTGTTGATTTTTTTATCATTATGAAGTATAAATACAAAACATAACTTTTAAAAAATCTCTCTCTATAGGTATGTCTTATATATATTTTTTTCTCCCTCGACTTTTTTTTAACTACTTGGGGTCAGCCAATTATTTATTTCCATACATAAACTGTTTATTTAGATACTAACTGAGTATTTTTAAAATAATCGTCAAAATAAAAATAGTTAAAAAAAATAAAATCTCTTAAAACGAATAAAAGTATATTCATAATTATTGAAAACATTTTATACTAATGCAATAAAGAATTGTTAACTATTTTTTCAGTTTTATCTACATAATTCATTTCTTTTAATCATAGCTATGACTAGAACTCTGACGAACGTCTTTAATATTTTTCATAAATTATACTAAAATCAGTACACATGTAACTGATGTTCAATGTAAATAAACATATAAATATATATATATATACATACATATATAAACATACAACTAGGTACATTTATACATATATGTGTGTGTGTGTGTGTGTGTTTAAACGTCACTAAGAATACGGTCGTACTGAGATTCTCCCGTCCAGTCGTCGAAATTATAAAGCCGAAAGGCCCTTTGACTAAATACGAGCTATCATAAACGTGGGACAAGAGATGTAATATAATAATGAAATAAGGGACTGATTCATGACTACTTCGTAGAGGTACTAATGAAAAATCCGTGACTGTTATCAATAAACATCGAACACGTTCCGTAAAAGTTATTGGTCAAATTGATGTGCGTGTGAGGGCCGTGATTGTGTAGTCAAGAAATGGCTGATATTATTATTAAAAACGGACCGAGTAAAAATGCCACCATCACGGTGTGATTATCCGTCGTACTTGTGCGATTCCGCAATCTCAATAACCTAAGCACAACGACCGTTACATATTATTATTATTATTATGGTCTGTTGTAGGTTTTTCCATTACGATTTCAATGGAACAATCGTACATATAATATTGTGTGCACTATACAAGACACGAACTGCAAGATGTTGAGCTTGACCCGAGTCGAAATCGTAGTATTTTCGAGAACGCACTTAACGTTTTCAACAAGCACATGCTCTAAAGGAAGAAACCTTTCTCGTGTGTTACGCTAGTACAGCAGTTTTCAAACTCTTTTGAATTACTCAAAAAAAAAAACTCTAATGTCAATATTAAACCACACGTAAACCAACCCACGTATGATGATGAATATAATGATGTACCAGTTATTTGCTTTTCGATTTATTTTTCTTTATAATTCGTACGCCGTATTAATAAAAAAATATTTAATATAATTTTAAAATACAAATTATAATTACCATTAAGTAATTTATAAGCTTTAATGTGAATAATGATACTGTTTTTTTTCTATTCACCGGTATTTCAATATTTTGATTGATAGAAGAAATTACAAATGTACATGTCTGCCTGTATGCGATCACTAGCTGAATATTATTATTTTAAGCCTTAGAATATTTGTATAGCATAATAAACTATTATTTGTAGTTTTTATGTATAGTTTGCGTTGTATAAAATACTTTTAAAATTTTTTTAAAGTTTTTTAAAATACTATTCAAATACTTTAAAAAGTACTTGTAATACTTTTTGTTTCATTTTATTGGTTTTAAAGTTAATATAGACATATCAAATATTATAATATTTATAGTAAGGATTTATTTATATTATTTATTAAATAATTACAAGTTGCATTTAAGAAACATGATATGTTCAAAGTTTTCATCGGTCATATCAGTTAATTCTTGTCATTATTACTCCCCCCACTAAATACTCGCTTGAAGCGCTGCTCATCAATGGAACGTTAAGTTTGAAGAAAATCTATTTTAATTAAGTAAACGTATTAATATTTATTCACACTAAAAATCAGTAAATAATATTTAAACATAAAATATTCACGAGTTATTTTTATTTTTTGAATTGTTGTAAGTATTTAAACTCTTCAGATCTTTGGTTAGAGATGATCCCAAATATTGATCAATTTTAATATTTAAAATGTTTTAATAATTACCATCAAAAGTTTGAGATAAAAACTGAAAACATGTAATACAAGGATCTTCCATTTTATTTTCAACAATTTTACCTTAAATGTATTACGGTTATTTTCTTTTTCTATATAATCCTTAATCATATCAAGACATATCGTTTTAAAGTAGCCTACAATCAACTGTTTTAGTAGATATCGTAATTCGTAACTGATACTATTAACGGGTATGGATATCTAATAAAACAAAAATAATTAATCTTGTCATTTAATATCTATTTTTAGATTATAGATTTTGTTTTCATAAGCTTTCGTTTCGTTAAATACTAAATAATACTATTACGATACTCGAGTCAGTGTTTGGGCAGGTTAAATGGGGGGGGGGGGGGGGGGGCGTAAGAAAAAACGATTTAAGTTACTGTCTAGTAGTTTTCTCACGATGGCTCAAGTATAGAATGGACTGTAATAATATTTGTTTGGCCTTATTTTAAATACCAATAAAATTTCCGAAAAAGAATGAAAAGTATTCAATACAAATAAGTATTTAAAATATCATCAAAAATACTTCATGTTAATGGTATTTAAATTGTATTTATTACTTAAAAAGTATTTGAATATTTTTAATCAAATACTTCACAATATTATATGTATATATATAATATAAAAATTACTCGACTTTGCTCGTGAACAGTTTTAAACTAAAATACCGTTCATATTATTATTATTAATTGGATATTGTAAGCACTTGCAACGGGCGCAATAACAGTGGCGATTTTGGTTATTCAACTGATGGCTGGTCCATAGTCATAAAGTACTGGTTATAATGTTATCCTGTACGGTTCTAGTGCTGAAAAATCAGTTATGACTGCCAAATGTTGACTTGGCACTGGAATTGCATGGGTACTATACGAAATGTGAAGGCTAGCCAGCATTGGCGTAAATAGTGTTCGAGATTTGGAAGTGGGAGGCTTCAGCATAATAAAGGTACTATGTAGTATAATATTATTATTGTTAATACTTATTTTATTTTTGAGGAGGGGGGACTAAGCTAAAACCCTTATTTTCGCCTGTGTCAGCCTGCAACTCTTGTAGTTGTGTCAAGCGTCGGCTTAGTACTGCACATTATGATTTTCGGGTATCATAGTACCATACGAAATGTATTCAGTAACCAGTCAGTGTTCTCTTGTAGTAGAAATATACCAGAAAAACAAAACAATAGCGCTCTAATTATAATTATTTTATTTCTAAAGATAAGGTTAGAGTTATTTATAATTTGCAAAACATGATTTTTGAGAATATAATGCATTACAATTAAATATATACGCTCGACATGTAGCCAAAAGCTAACCTCTCCAACACATAAGATATTTCTTGACAAAAGAGGTCATACTGCACGCCTAAATAAAAATAGTCAACAAAATATGAAATTTGTTCCAGGCCATATAAAGAAATTGCAATCAAATAAGAGTCACTGTTGTAGAAAACAAAATTATTAAAAAATACCGATTTCCTTATCACACTTTTGTGATTTAAATTATAATAATAAAAAAAAAAATTAATAATGGGATCCATTAGTTTAACCTTATATCATATATATTTTAAAAATGTTGCATTAAGATAAAAACATCCAAGAAACACACATGTTCTAAATATGATTGCTAACTACTGAAGTTTTAAATATAAATTGTATTTTCTGTTTCATATTATAGTTGTTAATTTGTAGCAAATTTAGTTTAATGAGGTGTATCTGATGGTAATTGTTTTTTAAATAAAAACTTAGTGTTATAGGTGTTGAAATCTAAAAATTAAATATGTAAATATAATTGATGAATGTTAAGTGTTTAGATATATTATGATTTTATTGAGTATGTTTAATGACTAGTGCCATTCCTCACCAATTTATTTTCATATATATGCAAATGGGCATAAGTCAATATACAAGAAATAACACCAGTCATACAGTTGTAAAATTAAACATGACAAAAATCACGAATCTTTGAAAATAAAAACAAAGTTACTGTAAAAACATATAGTTACATTCAAAAAAAGAAGTAAAATACAAATTTTAAAATTTAAAATCAGAATTGAAATTAAATAACATATTTTTTTTTCACTTGAACACTTTTTTTATGTCATTTTTGATTTGTACCCTTTCTTCCAAATACGCACAATGTGTAAATATATATTTATGACGTACTCATATATTATGTATGGTGTGCAAAGTATAATGTAAAATGCTTGTACGTTTATTGACATATATCTGTACAATCTATGGAAATGTTACAATTTGACTAATGATAATGTTTGAATTTTATTCTAACCAGAAATGTCCACCGAGTCTCTAGCTTATTCCTTAGGGCTTGATGGAGTACCGTTTGAGGACCACTATCCTATGCGTATCTTTGTATTGCAAAAGTAAATGGTCCAATTAACAATTTACATTTTTACGCGTTCATGAGCTTATTTTTAATTGCTCACGCATAACGTGATTGTTATTCTCTCGAGCATAATTTAATGTACATAATTTCCAAACTTTATTGACTATCTGATTATACTATAATTCATAATTTGTTTAATCGGCGTCTTTGTAATTTAACGTGTATAACTGAAAAATAAACATACCCCTCGTTTTAACTGTACAACAAGT